CCCTATGCTGCCTACCCCACTCTTCCACATGCATATGTAGACATACCACTATCTCTGTTTCAACCACCAGCAGTAATTTCAGTCCTATGTATAACTTCCGTGTGCTTGCTGATCTTTTAACCATCTTTATATTGAATTTTTATGTCCTGCTTATATTGAGACACAAATTCCTAGAATAAAAATTCAATATAAAGATGGCTAATGTGTGGCTAATGGCTATGCTGACTAACAATTTAGGAATCTATAGTCCCAATATATTCTGATTGCCGGTATACCACATGTATTAGCTTACAGGATTATAGATTGTGCCCTTACATAGTAGACCTCGACCATACTTGGAATAAAACTATATTTTGATTATATTTGTGATACAGTGGCCAAAATGAGCCAAAATTAATTGATACTGCCTTTATTATAGTGAAGAAATATTGAATATGATGCTGATATGATTTAAGCTACTAAATCTATTTATTCCATCTTTTTTAACTAAAAATGTTAGATGAGAATCTCAGTTGACAGTCAAGATGAGTTTCTGTGAGCACATTTGGAGACCAGCATGGCAAATTTTGAACTTTGCAACTTCGAATATGGGAATAAATAATAAACAGCCCAGGTTATAGGATGAAATCAAAATAAAAGGCATGTTCTATGTTTGTGACACTAAAAGAAATGAGAGAAATGTAGCAGGATTGATGAAATACAAGTATAACAGTGGATCTGTAGATTTAATTGTGGATGAAAGGGATAAATGTGTGCCAGTCAGAAACCGGCTTTTCTAGATTGTTAGATAATGCTCTAGCCTCGTGTTATGCTTCAGTGAATGATGATAATGAAAAATATGATAAATTTTAGGAAAAATAGCATATCATTCTGAATGAATGTGATCTTTGGCAAAAAGTCGCTCCATTAGGTGAGACAAATTGATGAGTATTAATGAGATGAGAGTACAAAAAGAAGATGGGACTGTTCAGTCACTCAAGGTGAATCAGAATGTTACTTAGAATATTTGCTTAGGAGATTTATTTTCAATCCATAGTTTAGACAAAAATAATGGATATGAATCTTAGAAACATAACTGGTTAATTCTTTATGATGTAAGGCAGAATCAGTGAAGGATGGGGGTGATGAACAAGAAAACAAATTACAGGGAAAGCACAACTCACAAAGTACAAGGCTTGTCTGAGAAAGTATTAGAAAATACATTAATCTCTCAATGGAATGTATGAAAAATGGATGTAAGAAAAGAATGTTTGGAAACTACTTTGAACAGAGTGAAAAGAATTACGTTACAGAATGCCACAGGTGTATCTGCAGTTACGCTAATGAGAAGCATGAGAAAGGATGCTTATACAGTAGTGCAATGATGAAGCGAAATAAACTGTGGATGATACCTATAAGATAATGATTGCTGGAAAAAAATAGGACAAAAGAAACATGTGAATTGTAGAATTAAAAAAAAAGCTGCAAAGATTAAAAAAAAAGGCCGAGAGTATACAAAGCAGTTTTGAGGGAATAACTTAAAAATATGTTTTGGAATTGGATGAAAAGGACCAAGCAATAAGCCTCTAGCAGAGTGAATGGAAACAAAAATAATGAAATTACTTAAAATGAAATTGAAGTGGGGGAGATGCCAGAAGAGGATTTTTGAGATTTGTAAAGGAATGAGAGTGATTCATCAGAGCTGAATAGAAAAAATGCTATAAATGTTAGCGTCCAATTTGGGGGTGGAGAGAATAACTTTGAGACTATTGAAAAATAGTAAGACCACTGGTATTTATGGAGAAATGCTAAAATGATTTTTGATTTTTTTTTTAAAAGCTGTACTCATGACTGAGGGTAGAATGACTTTCTCATACAAGGGGAAAGGTAACAAGAGTGAAATGCACATACTATAGAGGCATTGGTTTATTAAACTTGCCTGAGAACATGTTTGACAGAATTTGGGGACATCAGAAGATCCTCTTGCTGGAATTTGTAAGGAATTTGTTAAGTACTTTGAGGGGGAAAAATCACTCATTTTTATTCTGACCTGGATATTACATTGCCCAAGTCTTCTATGAGGTGACAGAGGTCTTCTGAGGTTCTTTTGAGCCCTTAGTGCTTAATTTTCCTGAGGAAAATCAACAGGATAATCTATGGGCTGAACTCAGCCACTTATTAATTAGATCCTTTCCTTTATGGATGATTTTGTTCAACCAGAAAGAATGTGATTTTATGTGTTCAGGAGGCGGTAGAGGGATTTTTGGTGGAGGGATCCCTGCCAAATATTTTTAAGTAGGTAGTACAGTGTGCATTTTTAAAAAATATCCATTCCTTGATCTAACCATCTTAGAAATTTTACAGTTTCTTGGTAAATTGATAAATTTACCAATTGGTTTTTTTTTTTCAGATGATGGTTAGACAATGAAATAGAAACTGCATTGGTCACTCCTGCAGTGAGATTTGGAAGGAGATGTTATAAACCGGCACTTCAGTGAGGGCTGTTCCAAAACTTGGGTCCTCCCCCATTTTAATATCTACATGAAACTGCAAAACAAAACTTATTTCATTCTTTGACAAAGTGACTGAATTAGTGGACCAGCAAAATGCTGTGGATATAGTATACTTGGATTTCAGTAAGGCATTTGACAAAGCAGACCACAACCTACTTCTTAGTAAGTTAGAAAAATGAGGGATAGACATCATCATATCAGATAGAGCTGTAACTGGCTGACAAACCACACTCAACGAGTAGTCCTTAATGGAACTACATCTACATGAAGGGAAGTAACAGTGGGGTACCCCAAAGTTCTGTCTTAGGCTCAGTACTCTTCAATATCTTCATAAATGATTTAGATGAGGGAATAGAAAAGAACTCATCAAATTTGCAGACGACACCAAGCTGGCAAGAATAGCCAACACCCCAGAAAATAGGCTCAAGATCCAGAAGGATCTGGATAGACTTGAAAACTGGACCCTATCAAATAAAATGAAATTCAATTGGGAGAAAAGTAAGGTTTTACATTTAGGCAAGAAAAACCAAATGTACAAGTATAGAATAAGTGGAATCTGACTCAATAGCAGAACTGTGAGAGAGATCTTGAAGTCCTATATTTCCTGACAATGAGAACAATTAACCAGTGGAATGGCGTGCATTCAGAAGTTGTGGATGATCCATTGCTGGAGGTTTTTAAGAAGAGACTGGACAGCTATTTATCCAGAATGGTTTAGGGTTTCCTGCTTTTGCAGAGGGTTGGACTAGAAGAACTTCAAGATCCCTTCCAACTCTGTTATTGTGCTAGGAGAGATCATCATTCAGTTTGGGGTCAGATATTGTTATTACGGTGATGGTGTTCAGCTTTAAATTAGTTAAAGGAATTAACTTTTACTTAAAGTCAAATAGACAATGTAGTATAAGTCTTGACCAGCACTTAAAGCCTATAAGAGACCAGATAAGATGATATTGACCATACTCAGTTCCAGCAAAGTGGACTCACAGAAACTTTCTATACCATAGATGTTCCATCTGTTGCTCTAGAGGGATTGGAACTTCTGAGGGAACTGGTGTGCCATCTAAAAATTTGCTTGAACACATGGCTCCTGCTGGAACAACAAATAGGAATTGTCCAACATTTGTACCAAGTTTAATGTCTTCTCCACATCCTAAGGCTTACTAAAAAAACATTTCTTTGTTTCCCTTCTGGTTTCCTTATTAAAAGGCAGAGCCAACCATTGGTTTTGAGTGATTTCTCTTTAAGATGTTTCTTCCCCCTCCCCCTTTCCATCACCTTAGAACAGGGGTCTTCAAATTTGGCCCTTTTATGACTTGTGGACTTCAACTCCCAGAATTCCTCAGCCAGGCATGCTGAATGAGGAATTCTGGGAGTTGAAGTCCACAAGTCATTAAAGGGCCAAGTTTGACCCTGCCTTAGAGTTTTAAAATAGACTTTAACCATATTCCGTTACATTCCATTATTTGAAAGGTAGTATGTTTCTAACACCAGATTGAATTAATTTTCAAGTATAATAATACCTATTTGTGACTGATAGGGCAGTTATTACCGAAGAAGTTATGGTTCTCTTAAAATAACCCAGATTGTCAACATTCTGGAAATGAACCTTTATTTTAGCAATTGACTCATTAACATTTTGTGGCATCGCAGAACAGTCAGTAATGGAAAAGAAATGGTTGATAGGGACTGACTGATCAGTTTATAGTTGATATAGTTTAATATTGCCATATATATTCATGAATAAATCCACCCACATATATAAACCAATCTTTGCATTTTTAACAACAACAACAAACAACAAAAACATAACAAATGCACCAGCCATGAATAAGCCAACCCATTAAATATTCATATACTTTAATTTTCACATTAGGCTTATCTAATGGTGGGACATTTTTCCTAGTATTTTGATTGGAAATTTGAGGGCAGATTTATCCATATTTAGGTTTTTCTATGAGTATTTACAAGTTATATGGGTATTTTAAAAAACTAAGGGAAAAACCTATTGTATATACAGTATTCATAGAGAAGACAAACCCATTTTTTCCCGTTAATTTTGGCATCTAAAACTCTTGGCTTATTCACAAATAAATATGGTATATGTAATAAATCTTAAACTTTAAAAAAGACGGCTTTACTATTACACCTTAGAAAAAAAATACTGCATATTTTTATGAGTTGGCTTATATAAGAGATCCTTGCATAGCATACATACATACAAATACCCTCCCCACACACATCCCCATGCCCCCACAAAATGCACTAGGTGACCATATTCTTAAGTTTTAAAATGTGTGTCTTGTTTTACCTGGCCAATGATTTGAGCCAATCAAATCCGCATCAGTATATTATTAACTCACAAATAGGAGAATAAATAGGCTGGAAAGACTTCTGAACTCAGCAATTTTCTTTTCTGCATTAGCATGTTTTCTTATTAGTAAATAATTTGCCATGAAGCCTTCCCAACTGGGTTTAATGTTTGTGTAACACTGTAAATGTTTGTTACAGGAGGAGTAACAAACACGGCGCAGTATCAGAACAGGCTAATGGTGTATGATCCAGCCCAAGTAAGTTTATCTGCATTATGTTAGTCAGGCTCTGCTTCTCTAATAACTTCTGCACCATAGTTTGTGTGAAAGCATGTCAAAGCCCAAATGCCAAAAGACGTACAACTTTTCCATCTCATGTGCTGAACTCATGTTTCATGTGCTTTAAAGTGGTGACAGGGAAAAATATGTTATTTAATTGTGCAGAATCCCTCTGCAGCCAAGTGCAGTCTATCCTTGTTTGCTGAAAGAATCAGGTTGTTGAGCTTTATTTTTATAAATTAGTGGTTGTAAATATAAGGTTTCTGCTGAGATTAGCATCCTTTATAGGCCCTGCCCTGCTCAGTTTCTTTTGTTTTTTTGTTTTTACATGAAATTCCTGAGACTGAATCTTATCAATTAGCTAAAGTCTCCTGGTTAAGAATGAGTTCTGCTCCTAACTTTATTTTTAACCCAAAATTGTATGTGAGTCTGAATTTGTACTCAAAACCAGAGTACCTATTACTAAAAAGGGCAAATGTTCTTGTCCTCAGTTGAGCCATCAAACTGCTGAAGCCATGCAATGCACTCAGGAACTGCTAAAAACAGGCTTTATATAAAAATGTGTGACTTCAGCAGTTCCTGAAACCCTTGTATGGTTTCAGTGGTTTGTCAGGAAGAAGAGGAAGGAGAATGCCATTCACCATTTTTTAAGTAATAGACCAGCTTACCATGTTATCCAGAAAATACAGGTCCTTCATATAGGGACCACTGGTGGGACTGTTGGACAGAATTCCAAAACCTGTGCTCTACTTTGTCATATTATAGTAAGCATTTCTCCTGCTGAACTGCTGCCCTTTGGCCTCAACTGGACATGTGCAGCCAGAACGCTTACTTTGTATGCAAAGACTTGCTCACGTGGTAAATGTTGCCCCTGTTTTGAATAAAGGCTATCTCTGTTTAAACCTTAAAATGTCAAATGCTGCCCTTTTTTCATATGTGTGTCTCTCTTTTTTTGTGGGGGGGCTGCCACGCTTTCCCATGGGCTGCCACGTTTGGCTGCTCCCAAACTCCACCCCCACAGGCTTCGCTAACCATGAAAAGGTAATGAGTCTGTGCTATCATTCCTACAGTTGAGGGTTGCTTCGTGGTTCTACACACATACCTTTTTTTTGTTTTGTTGTTTTTAAAAGATTCTGCTGGCAGATTGTCTGCTGGGCACTTGAAGCTCCTCGCATCTGCGTGCGTCTTGCACACAGAATCTCAATAACTCTATCTCGTTGGGTGCTTGTGCCTGTTTCTGCTCAAGGCCTTTGTGGTGTGCTGATAATGTCTACCATCTGCCACCGAGCACATCGCTACCTGCCAACAGGCAGGCTGGGGTGACCTCTGCTTCTTCACTGCTGATTAGTATTCACACGCTGACTTATTAGGAATGACCCCACCAGCCTCCTCCCCTGTTTCTTTGCCTTTGCAATGCTTGGGGGCTTACCTGGCAGTCACTGCTATGAAGGAAGCTAAAATATAATCAGGGGATGCAGGCAGGCTTTTGCAAAGCAGATGGTGTCTATAGTCCTGTGTCAAGGGAACGGACTGTAAATGCAAATATTAATTTCTCCCAATCAGGTGCTGCAGAGTATAATGGATAGCTATACATTTGGAAGAGCTACATAGAACAATTGTTTTCTGACTTCTGCTCTTTGACACTCAACAAACAGCTCAAAATAGTTTCCATGCTGGCCTTAAATATTGCTTCTCATCAAAATGATGCAGTATTTTAGAAATAATAGAAAATTGGTCTTTTTTTGGTCCAGGATGGAATGTCATTAAACTTGCGTTTTTCAGTGATTATGTTGCAAACAAAAAGGCATTTTTTTTGTTTCTTTTCTTTAAAAGAAATGATGCAGTTTTATGTAATATGTATTTGGATAGCAGATGTTACGAGTGTCTTCAGCATACTAGTGAATGGAAAATCAACATACCTAAAATGTTCGTTGTGTGTAGGAATTAAAGTTTTCTTTTGTCTGCTTTTGCAGAATAAATGGCTCAGTCGCAGCCCCATGTTGCAGAGGAGAGTCTACCATTCCATGGCTGCAGTTCAAAGGAAACTCTATATTTTAGGTGGCAATGATCTGGATTACAACAATGACAGAATTCTTGTCCGCCACATAGACTGCTACAGCATAGATGCTGACCAGTGGACCCGGTGTAATTTCAGCATGTTGACAGGCAAGTGTTCTTAGCAGAATGTGTCAAAGCTGTAGGAGAAATCCTATTTTTAATTGGAGATGTATATTACAAAACAACAATAACCTGCCCCATCTTTGGCTGACATCAAAATGTGAAGCAAGGCTAGATCTGGTTAATAATTAGAGAGAAAGCAGGAAGTATCAGGGCTGTTGGCTGTGAAGCTGAAACAACATATATGATATCTAAGAAGGTGGCAATAACAAAGCATTTCCAGATTGTTTTGAGGAAGATTACATTCCATGTCCATTAAACCAGGGTACCTTTTCACAGATTGTATCACTTTTAGGACATGACAATATTTGAGTACCACCTTGCTTAGCAAGGTGTCAAAAACGTGATGGCCAAAAAAAAAAAAAAGGAAAAAAGTACTGTTTTTAATTTCTTCAGTGGCGGTTCCTTTGCTGAATCACTTTCCCTTTGCACTGACAAACGTATGATGAATTTATCCATATTTATTAATATGCACCACTACCTTGGTGGTCAGGTGGCTGGTCGGCCCTTCTTCCTCTCTCCCTCTCTCTCAAACGTTTCACAGCCTCTACTCCTTCATTGATCCCACCACTACCTTGGTGGTCAGGTGGCTGGTCGGCCCTTCACAGCCTCTACTCCTTCATTGATCCCTTTGCTTGTCTCACGGAAGCCTCTCTTCTCTCTCTCTCTTTCTCCTCATTGCTTGTCTCCAGAAGCCTCTCCTCCCTCTTTCTCCGTCCCCTTATCTTTCCCCATTGTCTTTTTTTTCCGCTCCCTCTCCCATCAAAACCTCCTCCTTTTGTATCCTCTCCTCTCTCTCCCCTCCCCCTCCTTTGCTCTTCTGGGTGTGCCACTCTCTGGGTTCAGGGAGAGCTCCAGCATTGGTCATCTACTCCCTGGCTGACCATTGCACACAGCACTGATCAGCTGGAGCTGCACACATCAATCCTGGGGCCTCTGCAGCTCCAGCTGACTCTCTCAACCCAAGGCCTGTCTGTTGCTTCATGATAGCAGAGGCTACCGGAAATGCCGAGCTGTGTGTGTGCCCCAGCAACACCGCAGCTCCAGCTGATTCTCCCCCAGGACTGTGCGGTACTGCCACCACTTCAGCTCATCCTCCCTGCTACACTTGTCTACTTGGCATACCACCTGCCAGGTGCCGAAGTACCACCAGTGGTACGCATACCACCGGTTGAAAAGCCCTGCATTAAACCATCAGTTGAGCTTGATTTGGAACTTTGTTCTTCTTTCTCTAAAAAGAGAGTTCTGTCTTCATGACCACTGCAGTGTCTTGCACCTTATATAGTATACTTAATATTACAAATATAGTGTCAAGGTTCCGATAGATAGAACCAAATAAATCAGAACTCCGAGGCTAGAAGCTTCCTCAAAGAACATGTTTATTAGATATTGGCATGAACAAAAGTGAAACCAAGTCTGAAATTCCCCCCAAAGAGTTACACTATTACAAAGTCAAACTTCCCCAATGCAATCATCCACGTTCCCCAATAGAATAGCTTGGCTGGCTTTCTAACAAAATGCCCAACCCTCTAACATAACTGACAGAATGACCTTGGTTCCATGGGACACAGAATTGTTTAGACTAGCAAAGATACACTGCACCCCCTCCCATTCATGTGGCAACCAAGAACGAGCAAGATGGCTGCAGCCAGGTTCGTTGTAGAGTTGACACATAGTTATATGCAAAATTCCAGCCAGAAGAAACTTTTTTAAAAATCAGCTGGCAGGCCAAATGTGTATTGCATTTGCAGAAAAATCTATAGATTTGTGCATGTTAAGTTAAATAACTGAGTTATTGGAAATGTACTGTCACAGCAATAGGTATGCGGTATTGTGCTGTACTGGCATTCTGACGTTTAATAATGTTAACAAAATTTATGGTTTATTTTTATCTTATCAGGCCAGAATGAATCTGGAGTGGCTGTACACAATGGCAGAATATATTTAGTTGGTGGCTACTCAATTTGGACAAATGAACCCTCAGCATGTATCCAGGTAATTGTCTTTTTGAGAACTTTCAAATTGTTCTGATGAGGGATGCTTTGGCAAGGAATAAGAAAACAAACATTTAAGAAAACTATTGGATCATTTCACTAATTATTTTTATGAAAATGTTTAACTGGGATGCATAATGGTATAGCTACGTACAGTTTTATATTAAGTGTACTTAATCAGAAACTTTAGATTGTCATCCAGGAGCTTTTTGGTGAATTTCTGATAAAAAAAAGTTGGCATGAATATTACAGCTTCACTGCATGTTTGAATTTTTAGAATATAACTTAGCTTTAGGTGCTTTTCATATTCAATATTGTTTAGATAGTGTACAATATTCATTTTAATTATGTAGTCCACAGTAGATAAAGAGAGCCATTCTGATATAGTGTTCAAGGCACTGGGTTAGAAACTTGTACTTGTCCTGCTTAGGCCCAAAGCCAACTGTCTGTCCTTAGGCCAGTCACTCTCTCAGCCCTAGGAAAGAGGCAATGGGCAAACCACTTCTGAAAACCTGGCCAAGAAAACTGTAGAGACTTGTCCAGGCAGAAGCCAAGAGTCAACGCTGACTCAAAAGCACCACAACCAAAGGAAACGTGAATGGGACCTCACCTTTGGTATTTCTTATATGACATTTTGTAGTTTGCTTTGAATAAAATAGCATAGACTTAATCTTAACTACAGGTGGCACAGTGGTTAGAATGCAGTATTGCAGGCTAACTCTGCCCACTGCCAGGAGTTTGATCCTGACTGGCTTGAGGTTGACTCAGCCTTTCATCCTTCCGAGATTGGTAAAATGAGGACCCAGATTGTTGGAGGCAACATGTTGACTCCGTAAACCACTTAGACTAGAGTGCTGTAAAGCACTGTAGAGCGGGTATATAAGTCTAAGTGCTATTGCTATTTTTCCTTACACAGGTGCTGGATGTTAGTAAGGAAGGAAAAGAAGAAGTTTTCTATGGGCCTTCCCTTCCTTTCGCTTCAAATGGAATTGCAGCCTGTTTTCTTCCAGCTCCTTATGCCACATGCCCAAACCTGCAGCCTTTGCAAGTGCCTCATCATAAGATGGGCAATGTGTGAGACAAGGAAGCCAGCCACAAAAGAACAAGCTACTTCATTCATCCTGATTGTGTCTTTCCATCAACAAAATTGAATGGTTGTGGAATCTAACCTTGTATTAAGTGCAGTAGAAGCCAAAAAGCAACAAAAAGTGGCAGAATTACACCGGTCTCTGGTCTTCAAGTGGCTTTGACCATGTTTGCCTATTAAGAATCTTTCTCCAAGTATTCTGAAAAACATTTTTTTGCACTTTAATCCCTTGCTCCCGTTTTTGTCATTTTCACTGCCTTGCAAAAAAGCACACAAAGTAAATTTTAAAGAATTCTACCTTTCAAAATGTGGGCTAATAAGCTACAAGGAGCTTGGACTGTTGAATTCTTGAAGGCTTTTTCTTGGAGTTTTGTCCTTGGAATTAGAAATGTTGAAAATATATACTGTTGTGTCAACAACTTACTTGCAAAGGTGCTTGTAATCTACTGGCTATTTCTCATACTTGCCTCACAGATCATTCAGGGGCTAAAAACTGAACAGTCATATAGATATAGTTTACCTATAGAAAAGGCAGACATGTGGCACTATAAAGAAGTCTTATAAAGCAGGTGTGAATACGACCTGCTACTTTGACCTTGTATGTTATCTTGCATTGTTGTCTCCAAAGTGATGTCTGGAAACCATAATTTTTTAACATGTTGGCGAAAAAGTTCAATTTTACCATTTTTAGTTGCAATAGCTAATACCTAAACAACACCCTGATTTTTCAAAATTAAAAGGCTTGTTTAAGAAACAATACTATCAAATTTATCAGAGTAAATTTTAAACGAGTAAAAAACTTTAGGGGATGTACAAAGATGTTGAATTTAAATTGATGTAAATGTGAGAGGATCTGCTTCAAGTTTGAAATGAGCTAGATCAACCAATCCTGGAAGCTATTTGAGCACAGAGGCTTTTAGGGTGATTAAAAAAAAATGTTCATTTCAAATTTGGAGGAAAAAAATTGAACTTAAAACAGAGAATTTCAATTTTATTTGAAGTTTCGCATATCACTGTAAAGCTTATTACAGCATGTTCCATCTTTTCTCCAAAAAGATTCAAAATACATCTGGCGGGACAATTATGATTTGATCTTTTCCAGCTTTTGATGCTATTTTGTGTAGTTACTAGAGATTTGTGATCCAGTTCTTAAGGTTTTCATAACCAAAAATACTTTCCTTACTCAGTTACATATTATTTGGGTTTCTGTAATTTGATGTATCATTACAGCCAAAAAACAAGCTATGACCAAACAAGTGTACCAAGAAATGCAATGAAAACAAAATGCCCTGTGCTTTCTGACTATGAAGAAATCCAACTTAATTTACAAATTTGCAGCTGGCAATCTTCCAAATTGCTAATCATATGCAACTTTGGTAACCTGTACCTGAAAATGTAGAATTATCACCGTTAAGATTTTTTCAAAACCAATAATTTGATATAACACAAAGGCGTATGTAAAATCTCATGCCCATAGGTGCTGTCCGTGTCTCAAGGAAACCAAATGTCATAATGAGCAATTAATGATTTAAGCATAAATAAAACACAGGAACTAAATTGGTGAATTTATGGAGATTGGGGGGTGGGAAATGCCATATTACTTCCTCACATTTCTCCATAGTCAGGAACATTGTGAGTGGCCATACATTAATCTCCCCTTCCCCAAGTTTCTTTAGCAGATAATTTTTCTTCCACCATCTTGAAGCACAGCAGCCAGCTTTACATCCAAATGTCTTATCTACCGGTAAATATCTGCTTTTTGACTAGCAACACTCCCCAGGGTATCAAGTGGAAAAATAACTGCCACTACTGGAGTCCCTAAGATAACTAGGGAGTGAACCTAAATCTTCAAACAACTGTGACACACATTCTCTTCAGGGAGGAATGATGATTATAAAAGAAGAGAGTAAAACATGGCTGTAATTTCCTCTCTCCCCCCCCCTTTTTAAATAATCCTCTCAATAAGCGTTAGTATGAGCCTGAGCTCATTCTGAAAAATAATACATGCCTCACAATATTTCCAGTTGTTTAGGCATTATAATTTCATATTACTGCATTATGAATTTTTAATTCATTCAAGAGTCACTTAGGTGAGGGGAGTATAGAAATGCGATGAATAAAATGAATGCCTGAATCTTGAAAAAAAAAATAGGAAACTGCATTTTACACTTCTGTTTTAATATTATGCAGGGTATCTACAGTAATGTTTTTATCATTAATAACCTCATGCCCAATTTCTTATATACTTTGAAATTTATTTGAAAGAGATACCACATTGATAATTAATTGTGTATCCACTGCAAATTTGTAACCTGCATGTTTGAATATGCTGAGGTATAAAACAAATCAATGAGGAATTTCAAACAAATGTGCCTCCATTCAACACCACTGGCATACGTGCAGTCTACAATAAAAAATAACATTTTTCACTATTTACTGCATTTCTTTTGTTTATATTCATATTCATCAACTATAATTACCCCCCCCCCCCGTTAACTACTTGAGTTTGGAACAGAGCAGTGGAGCACATAGAGGTGCTATTTCTCTACGCAGTAAAGCAACTTAGAAAATCACAGCTGTTTGCATATATATGCAGTTTTCAAGTATCTTTATTGACATTAACAAAATTGACATCTTTATTGACAATTATTGTTTTAGATTTCAAACTTGGATTCCTAAAAAGACAGACCCACATTAATGACTTTGCCAGGGGCTTCACCAACACCATACTCAGATGAAAACCTGGTCTTCAGAAATTTATGGAATGTTTGAAGGATGGGAACCTTATGTATCTCAGTTGTGTGTTGTTCCAAGAGTGCCTCTACATAAAAGGCACGCTTCCTCTGTCAGATGGAACATCTATTACAGTTCACCCTGCTGCATTTATACAGATTGTCTTCAAGGGTATCCTCATATGTAGCATGTTGCAATTGTCCGGGCGTTCTGATCATAGTTGAGGAAGACATATCAGTACAAAGATCTTTCTGGCCATAGCTGCCACTTAACCTTGGAGGTGAAGATGGCAGTCCAAGAGGGGACCCTCTTGACATGCAACTTCACCCAAGAGCAAAAATAAAAATGCCCAGATGTTGGGATAATGGTTCTTTCCAGACAGCTTAGATTAATTCTACAAACTACCTGAGCATTGGTCTTGCAAAGATTTATGGGATCTGGAGCCTGAAACATTTGGATTACAGCAGGTTCCCAACTTTGGCTTTATTGTACTTAAGGAACTTGGCATCAAGAATCTAGCACTTTGATCAGTAGGTTAATGAATACAGTATAGTTTTGAGTGGCCTCCGTGCAGCTTGTAGGTATTAGAATCTAACAATCTCTCAAATATATAGCCATATTCAATTTCCTTGTACAAGACAACTGTAATACTCCTGTAAGACAATTCTTAGACTTTTGCACTTGTAATTTTAACAGTATCAAGACTTGGTCAAATATACTACTGTACAGTAATGATTAAAACTTCAACACCATATCAAGGAAAAGCCAACTGAAAATGGGAGTTATAAAGTTACATCTTTGGTGGCATTACTATTAGTAATAATATTCAGCTCTAAGCAAAGCCTAAATATGACACTTTTTCTGTCAAAGAATGACTTGAAAATCCATGAGAAAGTATTTCTGAATTTCTGGCTCTTTAACAAAGCATCTGTCTTCTGCTAAATTTGCAAGGCTATTATGGGAATCCTTGGATTCTCAATATGCTTGCTTTTTTTATGGAACAGGAAAGAAAGTGGCTTGCAGTGCTACTATCCCCAACATAAAGTGTAGTGCAATTCAACTAAAATTAATGATAGCTTTTATCCAAGTTAATATCAATAAACCAACTACACAAATCAATTAGCTATGAAAAAAGAATAGTCTGGGAGAAAACTGATAGTTTTCCAGTGCAGTTTAACAAAACACAACAAAGACGTAATACATTTTTATTGAAGTCTGCAATCTCACAGTCTGTGGAATTGTACCTACAATTCTGTGCAAGGCACACAAGGAAAGTAAAACTCCATTATCAAACATTATCAAATGCCCCTTGGTACAGAGATCTGATGAGCACATGGAACGCCTGAAGCTGTTTGCTTCCTAACCATTTTCATGCCTGTCACAGTTAATTTTGGCATATCTATCTTTCTTTAGTCTCCCGTTTATTTAGCTAAGAAATTGTTAATAAAAATATGAGTACAGCATACACATCTGTATTCTTGCTGAACTGTTCCATTTAGGCAAGCATGTTGTACCTAGAATAACCTGCTAGGGAAGAAAAACTTCATAAACACCATTTAGATTTTTTTTTTAAATGCTTCATTCCGTGATGAAGGTACATCTTTCACCCCCTGGATCTCAGAAGCTTTTGTAATAAGGCAAAAATGCCTCATCCCTTATATGAAATAAAACTCTCAAGTAATTTAAGACACATCTTCATCTTTCCAACAATAAAAAAATACAGGATTTGACAAAATGGACTTGCCTATATAATTGTAAATGATGGCAATTAGTATGAATTTTCAACAATTTATGCAATATCATAGAAAATTGTTTGATGGTTAAGAAACTGAGCTATTTATGTCCATACAGGATGTTTTCTTCTGCATTGCTAAAATGAAAGTGGATCATATTGGTGGCCAGATTCTTTCAATTTGCAGGGGGATTAGAAGTACATTGAAATACACAGCCTTAACAAAAAGCATACAAAATGCTAAGGAGAGAAAAAGACACGTTCTATCATTTAAATGCACGCTGTAATATATAAAATACAAATGAAGTGCTATAATGGTAATACATAAAATCCAAATGAGAAATGAAAACTTTTAATGGACTGAATCCTCAAAACCTTCACAGCAACAATACTAAACTTGCTTTCTTACCTGCATCCTGACTACTGAAAGTGAAAATGGCATTTCCATGGGGAGGTTTCTACCAAATAGGTAGAAGTATTTACCTTTGCAGAAAAATCTGAGATTGCCATACAATAAGTTTAGGAAGTACACATTTCGCTAGTAATAAGCCCATTTTAAAGCACCTTATTTATTTTTATCCTGCCTTTATAATGTATAAATAATTGAAGACAGTGAGCGTACCCAATACTCCTTTGTCTCTCTATTTTCCCCACAACTCTGTGAGGTGGTTGAGCTGAGAATGGCTGGTCCAAAGTCACCCAGTAGGCTTTCATGCCTAAGGCGAGACTAGAATTCAATCTCCCGGTTTTTAGTCTTAACCAATAGACCAAACTGCCTGTCTACATGTAGAAATTGAATAGGACTTAAGGTCAGGCTTGTATCTGTTGCATAATTTGTCTGAGCCCAAAATTCATTTTGGGACTAGCTAGAACAGTGATGGCGAACCTATGGCACGCGTGCCAGAGGCGGCACTCAGAGCCCTCTCTGTGGGCACCTGCACCGTAGCCCCAGCCCTGTCTCCCCCCATGGCCCCCTCACCAGCAGCCCGCCTGGAGATTTGCCCCCAAGCGCAGCCTGCACAGAGCAGAGCAGCCAAAGATATGGCGGCTGGGCAGCGGGGACAAGACTCTGCCCTCGTGCCCTATCACATACAGATGATGCTGTGGGGTGCGGACGGAAGGTGTGGCTGCCATGGAGCTGCTGGGCGATCTGCGGCGGGTCATGGAGATGGTGGGTGGCTGGATAGGCAGGGGCAGAAGCGGAGTGGGCAAGGGCAGGGCCAGTTTTTGGGCACTCGGTCTCTAAAAGGTTCGCCATCATTGAGCTAGAATATATTAATCTTAAGCTGTTTCTCTAAAACCCAGTCTTAATCACTTACATTTTCACACTCTACCTAAATATAAAAAGAAAGAGCAAGGGTGATCATTCTGTATAAACTTAGAGTGTGGGCAAAGACTTCATGGTTGTAAAGCAGTGGTTCTCAACCTATGGGTCGCGACCCCATTTGGGGTCGATCGACCATTTTTCGGGGGTCGCCAAAGGCGGCGATCTGCCATTTTCTTCCCTCCGGGGGCGGCGCCGCGCCTCCGGGGGCGGCACCACGCATGTGTGCCGCGCATGGGGGCGGCACCACGCATGCACGCCGCACATGGGGGCGGCACCACGCATGCGTGCCGCGCATGGGGGCCACCACGCATGCGTGTCATGCATGCGCATAACGTTTGTGTGACGGGGTCGCCGTCACACAAACGTTGAGAACCGCTGTTGTAAAGGCAGCAGGATAAAGAAAATGAAACATTCATGTCCTTCTTGAACCTTTTAGATGACTCCTTTCTAACTGCACATTGTCCTCTGCTCAGGACTTCTTGACCATGATTTACAACCAATGCATATATCACCTTACATGAACAATAACAAAACATTATGATAAAAAGATTTACTATAGTTTACAATCTAATAAGCCTCTGAATGGTCACACTGAATTCAATAATTAAACCTTCACTCAATAAGCAGAACTTAAATCAGAATTAAGACACTTCTACCGAAAACTAAATTCATCTCCTTGGAAATAAGTGAATTAATATTGTGGCTCAAAACTTTATAAAGGAATTTGTCATAAAAGCAGTTATTTAAAACAGAATCATAAAATAAACATAAAACACTTGGGACTTTTTATGTACCCAATTAAATTTTAACATTTTATATATTTCCGTATATTATTGCCATTTATATTTTGCCATGTCATGTGAACCATGCAATTGTTCAAATTTTCTCCATTACTTCTCAAGATAATCAGCCCATACAGATTTATAAAGCTTCTCTGCAATAGTTAGATGTATCTGTTCCCTGAATCCACAGGCAAATAATCACTTCAGTGATTGTATAATACCATGTTAAAAAGATGTGTTAATAAATCTTTCAACTGACTACTCATTCAAGAGTAATTTTTCATGAATTGAAATTCATAAATATCTTTAAATATCTCAGCTAAGTATTAATTATACTTCAAATAAATAAAAGACTGGTTAAACAAGCTGTTATAATGTAACTTCTATTTTCCTACAAATCAGAGGCTTCACATTCAAAACCTAATGCAAAAGGCATATTTCTGTTTCGCGTCTCTACTAAATGGTAAGTGGTAAAGACTCAGATTTTGAAAGCCTCTCACCTGAAGAGGATTTTAAAGAAAGCTTTTTAGAAATGAAGGACTTTTGAACTGAATTAAACTCCTCCAAGGTGTAGTTGCTTACAAGAGACTACAATATAAATTCAGTAAACCTCTTTCATAAATGAAAAGAACATTTTGACTCCACACTATTAAGTAGCCTAAAAGAAGCTTTTAGTTACTGTGGTTCCTGGTGTAATAATAGTTGAGGTAGGGAAGAGACAATCTGCTATCTTTACACAATAAAACAATAACAATAGAAAAATGATCTCAACAAGACTAGGGAGACGTTTTTGTGACAATAATTGATGGACACAAAAGAGAGTCTCTGGTTATTAACTGAAAAGTTTCATTTTACCAG